TGACCTGTGACTAACCACTGTTGGCAGAATCTATATGCGGCAGTTTACAAGTTTTTGTTGAAATCTGAACCTACGCGCGCGATGAGGCTTAAGTCCGGGTTCAACCATTTATGGAGAAGAATCCAACCTGTCATTATGTTGTTTTGACAAGAAAATATTCATTTCAGCACCAGACGAGCTCAATTGATAGTATTTGTAATTTAGTACTTGCTCTTTAGAGTTTAATTTGCTATTATCATAATCCGGTTAAAAAACAATAATTTCAGAAGTTAATCCAGTTTCAGTAAATTTGTTTGTATCACATTGATTTTTTAACATCAAGTTCTTTGTTTGTGACTAAAGGTTAAAGAACAAACAAAAAAGACCAAAAAGGCAGTAGCAAATGGAGCTTTTGAAGTGAGTGGTGAGAAGCTGTCATATGTTCATGTCATATGTTCATGTCAGAGACCGCCGTCGTGGGGATGCCTTTAATTATTTCCTTGATCTTGAAAATTTTCATTGATTTTTGCAGGCAAGGAGAGAGAATGTCAATGCCGGGATGAAACTATCTCCTGATCTCGGGATGCAACAAGGTATTTTTTAGGTGTTGAACTAGAGAAGATTAATGTTGTTAGTCTGAGTTTCTTTGTGGGAGTTAGTAATGAATGGATTGTTGGATTAGTATGTTGGGCTTCCGCGTTTATTCGTCGTGAGAGCTTAATTTTCAGTTGGTTCTTTTAGGAGTGTTTTGATTTTATTCAGGTTCCTTTTTATTTTTATTTTTTTATCTTCAGGATGTTAATTTGCAGTCGGAGAGTCTCGAGAAGGAGATTTCCATGTCCACCGGTCGCGTTTTCAGATGAGCAGAGTAATTTGCGTTCGATTTGTCATGTTTTTAATTTAATTTCACCGTTAAAGCAGTTCGAGTTTCTGTATGCATACGGTCGCGTTTCAGAATTGGGCAATTTGTTTGTAATTTTTCCAGATTTTCAGCCAAAAAATAAAATAAAATAAAATAATACTGTTTGTCCATGAGCTTCACTGTTTCCTTTGTCTTCTTCTTTTCCAGTAGCGCGGTGAGTCCGACGAGCGAGTTTTACGGTGACTCAGAGCAAGTGTCACTCCAATCAGTCTCCACGGCCAAAAGCAAGAATCCTTCGCCTCCATCAATCTCTTGCTGGAACATCGACACGTACTCTCCGCCGCTGGCGGAGATCGAGATGTTCTTTGCGGCGGCAGAAAAGCACGACCAGAAGAAAATGGATGTAAGATGAATAATCCCATCTTTGATTCTTCAATCTCATTTACATTTTTTACCCAAAAAAAGTTTTGTTTATGTTGAACTGTTTTCTCTGTAGATGTTATGTATTCATTGAACAATTCTCTTGAATGGCAGACTGTATTTCCTGGACTGGGTCTTGTCTCAATAACACCAGAGTCTTATAAGTTGTCTGAGAACTACATGAAGGTATAATCCTGATAAAACAAATCATGTCTTGTTGCTGTAGGGTTGAGTTGGCTTGACACTTCATTGATAGTTAATGAATGCTATGTGCAGGTTTAGATGCAATGAGAAGAAGACGTAAATGCCCTTTAGTTGTTCTTTCTGGACGAATGAGGCGCCCGACTTGTAAGGTATAATTGGCTGTAACTTTTAAGGCAGGACAAACGCAAAACTGCTATGTTAGGGCTAACTTACCGTTTATTTCATGCTCATCTCGAAACTTTAACAAAATCGTGGTTTTTTAATTATCAGTACTTGCAGATGTAAAGGATGAATTCTTGGCTTTAATATTTTCGTATAAAGTAGTCATTTTGTGTGTTTAATTTACCTTCCACTATTTGCTAGAGCTGTCTATGTTCACCTAATTCGGTTGCCTATGAATTGCAATGTGCATGTAGCAGTCATATTCTCCCCACTTCCCATCAGAAGGCGCTTTGTACAGCATACGGCCTAATGGAATAAACTGGTCAACTGGAATGTCTTCGGCAGGGATACCCAGTTCATCAAAAAGCTTCCTTTGTGCAGCATTTTTCACCCCTTCAGGATAGAAAACATTGGCACTTATAACATATTGGCCTTGAAAGCAATACGTATAGATTGTAATCAAATATTGCTGGATAAAAAAAGTCAAGTGTACCAAGAGCATTTTCTTCAATAAGCTCAGACTCTCGGTATAGGGGATGACTGCAGCATGTGTTTGTCCACACCATAGGAAATGTCACCTTTGTTGCAGACCTTTGCTGCACATGGGACATATATATTAATGGAAAAAACAATGCATGGTAATTGCAATTTGCGAGTATAAGCAGGATTTTCACAAACGATTTAGTAATCAGAGGAATTCGAAAAGGAACAAGAAAACCCCTCCCGAGACATTACGGTTTTCTTTTTGTTGCACAAACGCAAAATTATTCTTTTTGGTCCTGATATTCTTCAACCACAAATGTTGTACATTAGAAAACTTGGCCCATCGGTCCCTAATCATCATTCTATATTGCTAAATAGGTGGTGTGTAGAAAGAATCAACTTTCTGAAATCAACTTGCAGCAAGAACAAGATAAAACTATAATCAAAAAGCACACACCTGAAGCAATAACTCGTTTTTTGAGTTAAACAGAAACACACCGAAAGCCCTGTGCAGCAAATTTTTTGACTCGATTTTTTCCATCAAGTGGCCTGCATGTATAAAGATTGTCGATACAAGAATGTTGTGCTAAAATTCAGAATATATTACTCAAGCAGCAGGAATGTAATAAGAGAGTGAAAACACTAAAATATGCTAAAAGACTCAAGCTTCACAATAAGCAGAATAAACCAATGTAAATTTGCAGCTCTGAGATAACGGAACGATAAACAAATCTCGAAATGTAAAACTGCTATCATGGCAGACCGACCAAACAAAAACCTGACATTGTTAGGAGAAGAAATGTCCTACTTACAATTGTATTTCGTATCATGGCCAACAACACAGTCATTCTGATCAACCAATATACATCTGCAGAAGATACGGGACTTTTAACAATCTTTTACCAAGTAAACTCAAATAAATCAAAAGCTCTCACTTCAGACGAAATCTCTAAAATAAGCATGGAAAATGTTTAGAAAAACGATGATTCAAAGGCCTGCACACTACACATCAGAACGATCTAAATCTTTGCATAATGAATGGAGGATAAAACCTCACATAATAATATTATCAGATAATTTCAAATGTCTCAATTTCATAGAAGGGAAAAATATTACAACGAAAAGTAGGGTAACCCCAAATCCCACAATCATCACTTATTTCATAATTGAAAGAAACCACCGAAGTTCACGACCTAAAAATGTTGTAGATAAGGGAAACCAGTCAAATTGCATAAAGAAGAAAAGGGTAAAGGCTGAGAACAAACTCGTCCACAAACATCAGGCGTCTCTGCACGGCGTCCATGGCAGAATCAGCTGTGACATCGCCCATGGTCAACGGAGGAGCTGCGGCGGACGAATAAGAGGACGACGCGCTGACGACGCGCTGACGACCCTTCTGGATGCGCCGACAGATGCGAAGATTGACGCCGACTTGAAATTAATCGATTTCAGTGGGAAAGAAGAAGAAGACGAAGAAGAAGAAGTAGAAAACGAACAAGAGGGCGCTGCCGGCAACAAACTTATCACGGTCTTACAGTTCAATGACAACATTTTCATTGTGTTGCTGTAACAAATTACCACGTTAGTCGCTAACAAATGAAGTGAGAATAGATACAGAGGACCCTATTTATATAGCTCGTCGAGTGAAAATATCAAAAGGGAATTATAATTAACAATTATATAACGTGGGCACGCCGAACATGCAATCTGAATAATAATAATAATTGCAGAAAAAGGAATTAGACAAAATATTTTGTTGTATATTATAAGAGATCAATATCGAGACACAAATTGTGTGGAAATTAGAGGATTCAGATCGGATTCATTGGAGTTGGATCGGACACCAAAGGATTGAATTGTGTGGAAACCGCAATTGAGAACAGAGTATTCGAAGGTCAATGTTTTGTTTTATTATTCATGCGACAAAGGACCATATCAAATAGATGTAGTCAGATCTTCGTTGTTATGAAGAAAATTTTAATCCATTGTGTGAGCATTGGGTTCGTACGTCAAATTTTCAATAGTGGATATTTGGTTTGATAGATCTATATATCATGGACTATAATAATGTGTTATTTTATGTTTTGGTTTAATTTTCGAGTTAAAATTGTTCTGATTATAATTTTGAAACTAAAATTGTAAATTCAAATCGAATTTGTTTTATCTGTTCAAACACATCAAATTGAGCTTTGGAAATCTTTGGATATGTATGCTCGTAAATCGTAATTAAAGATCTACTTACGTTCGAAACCATCGTCGGTCTCCCGTTGTGCGCTGCCCGACCCTCCACGCCGTTGTCGGCGATCGGTGCCACTATGGCTAGTTGTCGGTACTTGAGCGCCCGAGAGCCACTGCCGCTAGGCGACTGCAACTGAAAATATAATAAAGGGGTTATGAGTTGCGATGCGTTGGGGGTTCACATAGCTCAGTCTTTGGCGCACATCAATTGTTCATATTTGAAGGCGAACAACCAAATCAAATATATTCAATTCGATTCGTGATTCAAATTCGTTATTCCTTTAGCAAAAAGCATTTTTGGCTAACATAAATTTTATATTCAATATATATATATATAAACTTTATTCATTCTCCAAGTGACTAACCAACAGATTAATCTCACTAATACTATAATGTAAATTTGTGGCACTTTCCATATATATCATTTGCATGCGGGTCCAATATATAGAGTGAAGTTGTATTCTACTTTTCTAGATAACTGACGTCTATAACAGTCAAATACTTGAAACACCCAGTAAAGAGCATTACACTTCCTATACAAAAAAAACAATAGCTAAGAATTCGACAGTGATTGCAATCGAACATTTAACATAATCGCTGAACTTTTTAGCATTTGCAGATCATTATCAGGGGGGACTTGAATAGTATAGTATCATAGAGGAGGATAGAAGTAGGAAGACAAGGAAAATCCGAGAAAAAGCAGCCCTCCGATTGTGGCAACCGTACGCTGAGAGATCTTTGATGCCAGCATGCTTCCACCAATCACAGCCAATGATGTACAAATCGTATGCCCAATCGTGGCCCCTACAGCAACTCCCACGGCATTTTTGTGTGTGGCTAGCTGTAGAACACAAAGCAAGTATGAAAACAAAAATTTTAGAATCTGGTTGTGAATTGTGATTGAAATTTATATACAGTGTTCAGAATTGAGCTGCAAACGAACTAAGCAGCTCGCGAGCCGCTCGCTAGTGCTCAAGTCAAAGCTCGAGTCGAGCTCGAGCTGCACTGTCGAGCGGCTCGAGATATATGTTGAATTCCCAAAATACCCCTTATATATATTACATTAGTATAGCACCGGTGCTTAATGGTAATTTTATTTTTCCACTTAAAATTTTTTTAGCCAAGCTCGAGCATTTGATTTCGAGCCGAGCTCGAGCGATTGTACTTTTTTATCGAGTTCAGCTCGAGCGGCTAAAAAAAATGAAAATCAATCCAAGCAAAACCAATGCTCGACTCGGCTCGTTTGCAGCCCTAGTTCAGAATCATACATAGAAAGGCTGCTGTGAGGCAGCTTAACTGAAGCATCAGAACAAAAAATGCATATTTATTCTGTAAAATGACATTTTGTTTTACGTTAACGTGTCATCTAAAGTATGACATCTCATTATGCAAGTATGCTAATTTGTTGAAAATATATATCCGTGTAACAGGTGATCTATAGACAGAACATGTAGAGCTCAGTTTACTTCATCTTTTAAACACTTATTGCCCACAGACATCTGCCAGAATATTTTACGACGAAGTGAAAAATAGAGCTTACCGCAATCGTTGCTATCTGACTACGGTCACCCCACTCTGCTAAAAATGTCAAGATGAAGGACTGCACACACAAATTAATACCATGTATAAGCACATCAGTGAAAATTGTTGAGCAGTCCTTTTCTAAATTAGACATTTTAGAAGATAATATAAAAGCTAACTATGATGCTGTTGGTATTACAAAAAATGATTCAAGATGACCTCCAAATATATTGGTGTAAAAAATCTCGAAAAGAAACGTCGGAATGTTGTTTTCCCCTGTCCAGACTCAAGCTTCTCTTCTACCTGAAAAGTATAGTCAGGATTAATCTAAAGTATGTAATATAAATTGAGTCACAGGGAAGGCAAGCATTACATGGCAAATATTGAAGTATAATGTACAACAATGAGCAGAAAATCAAGTAAGGGCCGACCGAATACAATAACATGGAGCAGAGAGATGTATGCTTACAAGGTATAGTAGAATAGTAAATTTAACAAGAAAAAGAGACGTACTCAGACAATAAACCCACTTGAGTTGCATGTAAAAGCTGCAGGAAAGTGACGAAAATTTCATGGGGAAAAAAAAAAAAAAAAATTGAACGACAGCAATGCATATACGAGTAAGTTGGCTCAACCTCCATCTGGGATAACCTAAGTCACTAAGGATGATGCAAGCCACATAATAACTGCACATAAAAAGTAATAACACCTGATGACCCCCTCTCAATTATATTGACCCTCTGCTCCCGATGGTAAAACACCACATCCAGGGTCAAAATCAGTACTTAAAAAAGAATAATAGCTTCACAGCTGGAATGAGATATACTTACTAACAAGTGAAATTTAATATCCATACATACCTCCTCTATTTCTTTTTTCTGGGAAGATTTTGAATCTGATCTCCATGCAATATAAAGTAGTCGAAGCCCAAAAAAGGCATAAAGGACTGCAATAATGCTTCCATTTAGATTCAGGAACAAGGTGAAAGATCAAACCACAGACAAAGAAACACTTGTAAGAGAATGTATACTCTAATATATGATGCATAGTGTAGTTACTACTTAGCATAAACACAACTGGAACACAGGCGGCATAGTCACACAGTAATAAACTAAGCACTACTTTATCACCCACCCAGATATAGTGATCCTCCAGCAACCTTATTTTTCAATAATATCATTCCAATTGCTCCAGCTACCAAAATAACAACATGCAAACATTTTGTACACAACTATCAATACTCTTCCCAACCCACATGGTTTCAGTGCCTACTGCCTACGCAACTTGGGTCAGTTAACAGTATAAGGAACAAATTGGCCACAATGTCAAGGTGGCGAAATAGCTCTTTTAAAACTTAGGTGTTGGTTATTGTGCTCAAGCTTCTCCATGAACTCAGCATGATAATGTTAGTACCAACCCTAAAAACTCTACCAAGTTCCAGACTTAATTTCTACAAGAAGTTGCATGATACGGCTTAAACCCACATCAATTGAATGGATTCACCAACTTATTTGCTTTCCATATTGGAGTGCAAAGGATGTTTATCTTTGGAGTTTTATGGGAAAAATAAATCAAACCTTCATTATCGCTAATAAACTTCTGGCAAAAAAATTAGGATTAACAATAATAGTACACACCCTTCACCCAAGAAGATCGCCACAAAAGAATAATAATCATTTTATCAATTTATTGAGAGAGGTTACAAGTGGAACCTGTAGCTGCACTGTTTGTATGCTTCCTTGATATCAGATTTGGAACAATCCTCCCAAGACCAGTCGAAAGTATCTGGAATAAATGCACATAGGACATAAGTGAATAAAATACATTTTAATTATCTGGCAAACCAAAAGCTCACCAAAAATCCATCGAATATAAAAAAACAAGAACGAGAAACATAAATGAAAGGAAACAGAGCACTTCATTTTTCATTTTTCAGGAAACAGAACAAGACATTTGACTTACTGTCATCACAAACAAGGCGCTTAGTGCACCTGACAGGACAATTGATTTGGGGTGACGCATTGCCATCAGAGCTGCTATAATAAAAGTTTCATCTCCAATCTAGCAGCATAGTCATCAATATTCATTAAAGGAAATACAGATGTAACTCAAATCAAGGCTAACCAAAAACTACAACATATTTAATAAATTAAAGTTGGTTCACATGAAAGACACGGGCTCCAAAGTTCAATTAGTCAACTAACTGGAACAGCTAGAGGACTTAATCATCATTAATGACCAAGACCTTAATTTAAAAGTCTCAGGCTACAGCATCAATCATCAGAAGACACAGAGCATATAAGTTTTACAGGATAAATTTGGGAAAATTAAGATAATATGGAAAAGACTCAACAAACCTCGCTGACAAGTATCATGGAAAAACTTGCAAAGAAAGCATCAAAGACTCCCAGACCAGAGTCCAATTCCACACCAAGATTAAGAGAATCGGGGTCTTTCTTTTCTGTGACAAGGCCAGTCTTGATTTTGTCTACAAGCATCTGTCGAGCAGATTCAACAAATGATTACTAGATTTGTGTCACGTGAACAAAATAACTAAACTTTTGCAACAATTACACTCTTTAGCAGATAAGAACAGTGAATTATGAGAAGAAATCAAAATGGCAAGCATTTGCAGTCACTTTATATACTTCCAAACTCAGCTCAAGCATATTGTGCTGCCGATATTTGTGTTCAATGAATATAACACTGCACACTTCAAACATGAATAAACCAAAGGGACCTAGACTCACTAGTTGCATTCTTCGAGATTGCTAACTTTTATGCAAGCCCAGTGCACCCAAAAAAA